TATATATATATAGAATCTTTCCTTTCCTCTTATTCTATGGAAAAGAATATTTTCGATTGGTTTGATTTCTTTATGCACTATGCATTATGCATTATGCAAGAGTCTGTGCGGCCATTAGTTTAGCCACAGAAAACAGCTAGACTCTGTATCAAATGTGCAATAGTACCAGCAGTATAATACAATACCCTGTTTAACCATCAGATGGCACATCTTACAAAAGTGTGCTGTGGAGTGTGGGGAAAATCGCTCATAAAGGTATCACGGCGATTGAGAGACTAGAGACACATCTCTCTTCTTCTCTTGCGTATTGCTGTGAGTATAAGAAAGTTATATAATTATTTTATGTTTTTGACATTGTGTTTTGTGTTTTATTAAAACTCTCGAAATATAAATTTGGAATATTGAAAGACATTTCGAAGAATATTTGTTACAATTATATGAAATTGGTTATGTTCATTAAGTATGTGTTAAAGTTATAACAAGTATGTATTTTCTAGACTTTAGTCAACATGGGGAAACAGTTTGGAAACCTTTACAAAATTCATGGCATTGTCTATTTTCGTCTAAGCCCATACGAGCAAAAAGCCTTCAAAGGATTTATATCCGAAGGTGTACCAAATCTAATTCGTCGCTTCCAAGGCAGTGTATTTAAGGTTGCACCTTGTAAGTATATTTAGTATAATTACATATTTAATGAATCATTTATTTTATAATTTAATATTTTAAATTATTCTTTTTGTTACAGTTTTCATGTGTTCCTATTTGCTCGTGAATTGGGCGAACGAAAAGAATCATGCTCTTTCTCGCAAAAATCCCAAGGATTACGAAAATGATACATAAATATATATATGTATACATATATAGGTGAATTTCCAGTTAATGACACTTAGTTTTTATTTGAAAATATCAATTAATATTACCTTTAATTCTGAAATAAAAGAATTAATAATATTGTATCGAAAGTAATATATGTATATGGAAATATTTGGGAGTTCTTCATAAATTTGTTGCTTTCCTCTTTTGTGGGTAAAGTAATTGAATGCGAGTCGATTATATTTGTACATCTGTTTTTCAGTAAATTTAATTGTCTGTACAAATATATATTTTTTTCAATTTTACTTTTCTTTATTTGTATTTATTCTTTTTAATTGTGTGACAATTTAAAAAATGTGTTTGACTCTTATTTTGCTTTTTATTTATTGTTATTTATTTTACAAATATGTATGTTTTTGCTTCTCCAATTGCAATTATTTGTAGAAAAATGAAAATATATCTGTACCACTGCCAGTTAGACGAATAATCAAATATGGATAATTAGATACTGTAACAAAATCTTGTTACAATTTTAGATTTTCAAACTTATTTTAATATTTCTTAAATTTTAAATTAAGATAATTTTCTGAGATCAACGTTGAATCACTAAACTCTCCTTAGGCCCAGAATATAATAAATGCCATTTTCCTCAAAGTGATAATGACTTGGTTACACTTACGCTATAATTTGTTATTGATTGAACAAATAATTAAAAGATTTGTTGTTACGGATCTGTTATGTACGCGCGACGTTGTTAAATTGACCGCCATTTAGCCAATCCGGTCAATTAAACTGCATTCTCAACAGGTGTTTCCTTTTCCTCAAATTACACATTCTTTATAGTCTCCCTTTATAACAGGTAGTTCTATTGGTTCAAGATACCGGTCTTCGGATTTCTTCGACTTTCATGGCGCATACGGTGCAACTTGACTGTAGTGCCTCGTGCTACGACTAACGTGCCATGATTAACGTGCAAATCGATATACCTGTTATTCGATTAAATACACCCGTTTATTCATGTTATTCCATTATCATAAAAAAAAGAAAAAAAAGAAAAAGAAAAAACCGAAATAAATATTGAAGAGATGAAAACGTAGCAGGCTTGTAATATACGAGAAATAGATCGTGCAGTATTCGAGTCGTACGATCCTGAAGCATCGTGGCGAAGATTGCCGATTTGAACGAGTCCGACCGCCATGTCGGTCTCCGTAAACGTTGAACGTTGAACCAATGGCACGTCGCGTTACCTGCGGCGCACCTGGAGCGGTTGGAGCGGCTGGAGCAGGTGAGTGAGTGAGTGAGCGAGCGAGCGACGGTGCGTCGATCAGGGATTACGATCGGTCATCGGATTAGTCGCCGGAGTATTCGCGGTCGAGCATGTTCGGGACGTAGCTCCGCTGCTAGTTTTCTGTCGCCTCGGGATCGAGTGCCTCCCTCTCCCCGGCCCTCTACCTGTTTCCGTTTCTCAACGTGTACGTGCGCGTGCCGCGTGCAGTGCGTCGTGAAAAATTTGTAAATAAGGTAAGCGATCCCGTTTCGAGCGCGCTCGCTAAGCTCGCGATCATGCGTCTTCTCTCATCTATTTTCTTCTCTTCGACGCGAATCCCACGATGCTCAGGGAATTACACGAGACGAGATCAGTCGCCGTCGTAACAGCACCGTTGTATT